GGTAAGTTCTAACTTAGTATCTCAAGAGAATGAGGTATCAGGAGGAGAGAGGGCTAAATTCTCATGACTATTTTCTGTACTTTCTTCCTTGACATGCTCAGAGGTGGCAAAATAGAAGAAAAACCAACAGTACCACACTGTTGCACTTTAGACAAGGAAAGAATTTTCCTTATGTAAAATCATTTCTATCTTGACAGTTTAAAATCCAGATTATAGATCTTTAAAGCATTCAGCCGAAGAGAAGGACTACATGGAGGGCGGGATCCACAGATCCCGAAGGAAAAAAAAAAAAAAACAGGTTCCTAAAAGAGCCGAGATCATCGGGAAGTCCCAGATGGGGTAGGTACCGCATCCCGCCTCCCCCAGATGGAACCCCGGTGACCAGAAGCCTCTACAAGCACAGCTCGAGTATGCGGGAACTAGAACTTTTCCTCAAAACCACGCGGCCGCTTGCGTGGCCGCGCGATATCTCTCTATATACAAAGTGAACCATGGGAAGTAAACCACCCAACGTTCCTCTCTGAAAATCATAGTTAAGTTTGGAGCATGGCCACAGCCCAGAAACACAAGGACTTAATGCATAACCCAGCAGCTTCGAGCAGAAAAGTGAATGGGCTATGCGTTAATCCAGGCCATCATGTCTGTCCGTAGGGGAAAGGTTGTTGCCCCATTTGCCCTCTCTTCTCTGGAAAGAAGGATGGCGGCCGCATGGGGGCCATGTGGACAGCAGGTATGAGCCGGGGGTGTGGGGGTGACTAAAACCTCATGGGTAGGGGGGCGTTCCGGTCCGTCCTTCACGCCCTACCGAGACCACCAGTTGCCCCCCACGAGCGGCTCTCCAGCATGGCCACAGCCCCAGAAACACAAGGATTTAATGCAGAACCCAGCAGCTTGGAGCAGAAAAGTGAAAGGACTATGCGTTAATTCATGCCATAAGTCTGCTGGTGGGGAAAGGGTGTTGCTCCATTCGCCCTCTCCTCTCTGGAAAGAAAGATGGCGGCCACATGGGAGCCTTGTGGACAGCAGGCATGAGCCGGGGGTGTGGGGGCGACTAAAACCTCATGGGTAGAGGGGCGTTCCGGTCCGTCCTTCACGCCCTACCGAGGTCACCAGTTGCCCGCCACGAGCGGCTCTCCAGCACGGCCACAGCCCCAGAAGCACAAGGACTTAATGCAGAACCCAGCAGCTTGGAGCAGAAAAGTGAAAGGACTATGCGTTAATCCAGACCATCAAGTCTGCCAGAGGGGAAAGGGTGTTGCCCCATTCGCCCTCTCTTCTCTGGAAAGAAGGATGGCGGCCGCATGGGAGCCTTGTGGACAGCAGGTATGAGCCGGGGGTGTGGGCGCGACTAAAACCTCATGGGAAGGGGGGCGTTCCAGTCCGTCCTTCACGTCCTACTGAGGTCACCAGTTGCCCCCCATGAGCGGCTCTCCAGCACGGCCACAGCCCCAGAAGCACAAGGACTTAATGCAGAACCCAGCAGCTTGGAGCAGAAAAGTGAAAGGACAATGCGTTAATCCAGGCCATCAAGTCTGCCAGAGGGGAAAGGGTGTTGCCCCATTCGCCCTCTCCTCTCTGGAAAGAAGGATGGTGGCCACATGGGAGCCTTGTGGACAGCAGGTATGAGCCGGGGGTGTGGGGGCGACTAAAACCTCATGGGAAGGGGGGCGTTCCGGTCCGTCCTTCACGCCCTACCGAGGTCACCAGTTGCCCCCTGCGAGCAGCTCTCCAGCACGGCCACGGCCCCAGAAGCACAAGGACTTAATGCAGAACCCGGCAACTTGGAGCAGAAAAGTGAACGGACTATGCGTTAATCCAGGCCATCATGTCTGTCCTGGAGGGGAAAGGGTGTTGCCCCAGTCGCCTTCTCCTCTCTGGAAAGAAAGATGGCGGCCACATGGGAGCCTTGTGGACAGCAGGTATGAGCTGGGGGAGTGGGGGCGACTAAAACCTCATGGGAAGGGGGGCGTTTTGGTCCGCCCTTCACGCCCTACCGAGGCCACCAGTTGCCCCCCACTAGCGGCTCTCCAGCACGGCCACGACTCCAGAGTACAGAAACCAATTTTTTTTTTATCATTTTTTTTATTAGTGAAACACCATGAAGTACACTTATAGACTTATAAATTTTTGTGCTTGGGTTTCAGTTATACAATGATCAAGTACCCATCCCTCCACCAGTGCCCATCCTCCCCCACCACGGGTCCTAGCATCCCTCCCACCCCCCCGTCCCACCCTGCCGCTGTGGCAGGGCATTCCTCCCTGTTCTCTCTCTCTTCTTTTGGGTACTGTGTTTTGCCAGAGAGGCATTGAGTGGCAGTCATGTTTGGTCTATAGACCACTTTTAGCATGTCTCTCCCACCCTGGGAGGGTCTTCACAACACCCTTTATTTGGTGCTCTCTTCTCTATCTGAGCTTCCTTCTCACCTAGCACATGTGGCTGGCCTTCAAGTCATGGAGCAAAATTCCTGGTACTAATCTGAGCCCTTCCTGGGTGTTAGTCTCCCGTTTTGTTGCTTTATGTTCCCCAGATGAATGCAATCTTTCTGTGTCTATCCCGCTCTTTCTGACTCATTTCGCTTAACATGATACTTTCCATGTAGTACCACTTGTATGTAAATTTCATAACTTCATCTTTTCTAACAGCTACATAGTACTCCATTGTGTAAATGTACCAAAGCTTTTTTAACCAGTCATCTGTTCTCGGGCACTCAGGTTTTTTCCAGTTTCTGGCTATTGTAAAGAGTGCTGCAATGAACAAACAAGTGCAGATGTCACTTCGACTATACATTTTTGCCTCTCTGGGATATATTCCCAGGAGTGCTATAGCTGGGTCAAATAGAAACCAATTTCTTAACTATCTGACTTTCAGTAGAAATACTTCCAGGGTCAATAAGTAAAATAGCAGAAATCCAAAACCAACATTTAATTCTTGAACCCAGCTGTAGAAAGCAAATCACTTCACAATGCTTTTTCAGCATGTCTGATTTGGGGGGGGGGGGTAAACTCTAAATAATAGTGGTGAATCTTTTATTGAAACAATGAATCTAATCAAAGCAAAAAAAAATAAAATCCAGATTATAAATAATCAGAATTCTATAGTAAGATATTGACCCATTATATTTGCACATCATATCTGCATATTATTACTTTAACTACATATAGCTACAGATACATGCCTTACATATGCAGCAGAAATGAAGGCTGTTTGCAAAAGGTGCCCTTTATTTACCACTGTAATTTTGCTGACAGAAATTTTCTATTTATGAGTTTTTACTGAAGCAATGAAGATATGATGAGGGATTATTCTATGACCATTCTCAGAGTAAATTTTGGTAAATTTCCTCCTTAACATAGTGCTAAACTCTTTTTTCCCTAGTCTTAAAATTCTTCTAAGTTATCATTACATATTTTAAAATGCCACATAAAATACAGAAAAATTCTTATATTGCTGAAAATTCTATAAATAGGGAGATGGAACAATCCAGTATTTTGCAAATTTCTACCTGAAACAATATCATTTCTTCTGCCTGTAAACGTCTTTTTCTCCACGGGATGTGTCTCAAGCCTTTAATTATAAAGGTTTTCATCTTTGAATGCATCTTGATTTAGGCTTTGGCAGATGATTAGCCACCACCAATGATTATATAGACTTTATTTCTTTAGGTTTTTATACTAGATGAATGTGTACTTTCTAATCGCAGATTACTTGAAAATAGATATGAAGTTGAAATTCTTCTGTTTTGTCTTTTTTATTTAAACTGGCATTGTTGACTCATTTTTCCCTTGTGCTTCATGTTTAATAAACAGTTCTATTTAGGGTAGAGATGGCAAATTCAATTCTTCACCTAGACACAGAATAACCATGTAGCATATAAAGTTCTGACAAATAAGGCCATAAAGTTTAAAAATGATCTTTAAAATAAAGATCGTTTTCCTCAAAAATAGCTTAAGGGAAATGATTTTCATAGTTCTAAATCTTAAGGCAACCCCACCAAATAAATGCAGTTTGGCATATTCCACATTTATATTTATATTTATATTTATAACTTCATTTGTGAGTCTGGAATGTCTCTTGATCAACAGAAGTTTTCAATTGGAGGCTAAATGAACTCTTATTCAAACACTATAGAAAGAACTTTTGCATCAAATGAGTGATTCAGTGAATGACCTTGAAATGGAAATGGTTGGGTGGGCACTCCACCTTTCCATTGGTACTTGGCCTCTCCACCTTTCCATTGGTACGTTAGAGTGGACAATTAAAGAGCTGCTGGCCTAATGTCAGCTATGAATTTAAAACAATGGTTAATAGGAACACATTTTCACAGACACCTTGGTAAAGTATCTTTATAAAATTACTGAATAATAATATAAAACAGCAATCAACCTCTACCAGTCTAGTGTGGAGGGTCACTTGTGCACACAAGTGAAATAAATGATTCCGTTCTGAGTTGGAGGTAAGATGTTCCACTGCAAAGAGCCTGGCTTACTAAACTGTTCAAAATCTCTCTCTCTCTCTCTCTCTCTCTCTCTCTCTCTCTCTCTCTCTCTCTCTCTCTCTCTTTCTCTTTCTCTCTCTCTGTCTCTGTTTCTCTCTCTCTCTCTCTCTCACACACACACACACAAACACACACACCAACAACTCTATTTCCTGTTAGTGAGGAGAGGGAGTTTGGCAGTGAATTGCAGGCCACTGGGAACCAGGCCTCTAGGCCTGCCTCTGCTTCCTCAGGTGTAGCAAGTCTGTCATACCTTCATGTGTCTTTGAAACTCTTTCTTGGGCAGCATAGTTTAAAATCTAGCTCACAAATTAACTGGACTATTTAGGAAAGGTGTCAATTTTCCCTTGAGTGAAAATTTTCATTTAATGCCTTAATTAATATGACACCATTTAAATGATTAATATTGGGTAGTCGCTAAGTTCTGGAAGAAAGTCATGGATTCTGTATAAAAAGCTTTCAAACTTTAAAATGCCATTAATTTTTGTTTCCTCTCACCCACAGGCCTACCCACGGATAGCGCCGGCATTTGGGCACTACCTGCGGGTAGAAGTGAGTAGCGGGCATTTGAATTCTCCTACTCCTGCTCCTTGCGCTCCACTGCTGTGTCCAATATGATGTACCCATTTTGCTCTGGAAACAGCTGCCATTCTTTCTAAATGCCCTTCTTACACCACCACCATTTCTTAGCATTGGATCAAAGCTCCAAATCACAAAAAAAATACAAGTGTAGTTCATAGATGATTGAGCATAATAAATTTTCAAATCAAGATCATACCATATACATCATAAAGATAAATGAATGAATGCTAAATTTTGAAAACATGCTTTTATACCTCTTTGTAATCGAAACATGGATATTCATAGCCTAATTTCTCAACTTAACTTTGGACTACCTGTCAGAGAGAAATATAATAATAATCCTGCTTCTCTTTTCCTCTTTTCTATCCTCAGGAACATGATCAGCTCACCTATTCCTCTACGAGGTCCAAGGCCCCAAGTGTCATCATCACAGGTCTCAAGCCAGCCACCAAGTACGTATTTCATATACGAGTGAGGACTGCAACCGGATACAGTGGCTACAGTCAGAAGTTTGAATTTGAAACAGGGGATGAAAGTAAGTTTCTTCCAAAGACCTAAGATATCCATTCTGTACCATTTCAATTTTAAAAAACTCAAATTGCACTGTTCCCAAATTTTAATATAGACTCATCAAATAGGAAGTTTTCTGTCCTTTGGGTATACTTAGTCATTTCAGTTACTGTTTGGTATTGTCATTAAATATTTCCATGAAATGCCTTGATCCAACACAAGTATGATGTGATCTAATATGTCTCTTTATGAAGAATTCATTACTAGTGCTATAATGTAGGAAGTTCTCAGTGGGTCATGTAAGTGTAATTGTTTGCCAGTCTTGGCACTGTGATGTAATACTAATGAAAACCTGGAAGAGCATGAAGCTATGATTAAGTAATTTTAGCAGCTAGTTCAAAATTATGCAGCTTTGGCTTGTTATCTCAGATCAATAAAACCAGTGGTCAGGAGACAAACTGGAATAAAAGGTACTTACAAGTTTTAATATGGATACTTGGGCTTAATTAGAAGCTAAAATTGATTTCATAGTCACATATATTTTTTAAATGGCAGATGAAGGAACGAGGTGTCCCAATCTTATGTAACTGAGGCATTAAGTAATATTCATTCCAAGGCCAACTTTGACATCAAATTCCTTTTACACTTTTAGAAAACTATGTAAATGCTGTCTTTGTAGGATAATAAGAGTGGAGTTTGATATACGTTTGTGCAAAAAAATTTTCAAATATATAAGTATAATAAAAGTTTGTTAAATCATTATAAAATACATATAAGAATTTATTAATAGGAATCTTGGGACCACATAGATAGCACAGTGAGGAAGGCTTTGCCTTAAATATGGCTGAACTGATTTACTTCCCAGGCACCCCATATATGCTGGGTGTGATCCCTGAGCACGGAGCTAGGACAAAGCCCTGGAGACATTCCAGTATTATCCCCAAACAGAAAAAAATAGTGAATTTAGTTCGATAATAGTAGCTACATTTGTTCAGCCTCTAATTAATGCCAGACATCATATGAAGTATTTTACAATGATTGCCCTGTTTAAATAGTTCATACTGAATGAGATGCATATTATTTCCCTAATTTTGATTACGGTAAATCTGAAACCATGAAAATTTAAGCATTTTAGCCAGCCAGATCAGTATAACTGGCAAGGAGCTACGTTAAAATTAAAACTAAGGGCTATCTTCTACTAAAGCCTACACTCAGAACTACTGCATAATTCTCTCATCTGAATTTTTAAATTACTACTGGTAAGTAAAAAAGTAACATAGCTCTCTGAATGCGCATGGCTAAGTCACTCAAAGTGAAATTACTTGGATTTTCACTTTTTTTAGGTGGGGTGGGCACTTCCAGTGGTATTAGGGCTTACACTGTGCTCTGAGATCACTCCTGGTTACTTTGGGGGATCATTTGAGCTGCCTGATAAGTCACATGGAAACAAACACCTTACCCACTGTGTTATGTCTCTGCTCCAGAATTTTACTTCTGAAAGGATCTTGTTGCTGGTATTTCACTGATGAACGATAGTCATCTATAATATATTCTTTATTGAAATTTTATCTGAATATATAGTATGTAATCACTAACATAATTAAGAAAGCATACAGCTTAAGGAGAAATAAATAAATAAATAAAAAGAATACTTATGGCTTGATGTATTAGATCAGTGATCAATATTTATAATTCTATGAAGACTGTTGGCTTCTCAAGTTAGAGATGAGATAATTGAGAATAGAATATTCCTTATTATAGAACATAAATATAATAAAAAAAACATAAAAATATTCAACTAAGCCTCCTGCTGACTATTATTTCTTTGTACATTTGTCAAGATACAGCATAGGTACAAAGCCCAGGATGTAATTCAAGGAAATTTTGAACAAGGGAAGAAGTCTGTCATTGTCTTGTCTGAATTGTGGATCTTCCATCTCTGTGTCTCGTTCTTTTTACTTCATAGAAAAAGTATCTAAATTTTTTAGTTGACACATATATTTTTAATATGACATTGTTTAGTTAGAAACACACTCTCCTACAAACTCTTATGGTGAAATAGGTAAATCTAGGTAACTTATTTGTGTTCATCTGGAATTTCTAGATAAGTGAGCATAATCTAAAAAATAAGTTTTGAACCAAATAATAATAAAAAAAACTTTACTTGGGTTTAAGTCTAATTTTCAAGCCATTAGACTCGCAGAACTAAATTTCTCTCAGAAGTTATGTGTATGTAGTCTGATTCCCTTCAAAGTAAGGTATTCTGTTCACCAGTGATGCAATGCAATATTCATTGAACAGTAGTATACTGTTAACATGCTAGCATATGCCTATTCTATGTGGGGCTTTGGAAACGAAATAAGTTATAATAAGAGCTACATCCTTTACCTGCACATCATTAATAATATAGATTTGTAAGAGGAAATTGAAAATTTAGAACTTGAAAGATTGCATTGTGTGTACTAGCATAAAGACATTCAGAAACCATTGTGAGAACAGAGACCCTGATTCAGCACAAAAGGATCGTGACTGCTAGAGGATGAGGGACTGGGACTCATTCTTGAAAGAGGTGCTGTAAAGGAATAGAAAAAGCTCTGATGCCTGAGCTAGCATAAAACAGCAGTGAATTTGATTGACTTAAAACAAAAGGCTCAGCAGATAAAACTTGTGAGAACTGAAGGCAGAATATTAGATAGGGGCCAAGAAAGACACACTTTATGGATATTCAACTTTTTAAAGATACTGGGATTCATGGGAAACATTTTTATTTCAGTGTGAAGTTTTCTATATCTACCATCTGTAATTGGACATTTGAGATGTTGCATATTTTTGTTATTGTAAATATCATGCAGTGAACATTAAGTGTATAGATTTGTGGAACTTTCCAGTGGTCCTGGGAGTAAGTAAACACAGTTCTACTTATTTGACTTCTTGACTCTGCCCCTCTTATGTTTTTATGCTGACATCTCATATGCCTACGAATAAACCTAAGAAAGTAGAACTGGATGTTATAGCCATTAACATCATTTACTGAGAGTGTGTGTTCTATATTGGTATTTTTAATTGGGCAGTATAATTGAACCCCCCCTTTAAATGTAGCACTGTCCTCCATTGTTCATCAATTTGCTTGAGCTGGCACCACTAACATCTCCATTGTGAGACTTTTTGTTACTGTGTTTGGCATATTGAATGTACCACAGAGAGCTTGCCAGGCTCTGCCATGCAGGCAGGATACTCTTGGTAGCTTGCCAGAATATTCGAGAGGGACGGAGGAATTGAACCCAGATCGGCAGTGTGCAAGTCAAATGCCCTACCGGCTGTGCTATTAAATGTATTTTAGAATATCTGTAGCACTGTGTGCTGTCTGTAGCACTGTCTTCTGGTTATTCATCTATTTGCTTGAGCAGGCCTGGTAACTTCTCCATTGTGAGATTAGTTGTTACTGTGTTTGGCATGTCCAATACATTACGGGTAGCTTGCCAGGCTTTGCTGTGCAGGCGAGATTCTTTTGGTAGCTTGGATTCTTTTGGTAGCTTGCTGGGCTCTCCAAGAGGGATGAAGGAATCGAACTCAGGTCGACCAGTTCGGCCACTTGCAAGGCAAATGCCCTACCCTCTGTGCTATCACTCCATGTACATCTTCTTGAAAGATAGATGGGTGTTAAAGACTAAGAATTTTCTCAAGATAGAAATAAAAATTATACCATGCCTTAACATGTCAAGTTCACATACAACAGTAGGTTAAGTTCATTATTTTCTGAGTTATAGAGATAAAAAATAAAATTTTAATACCTTCATGTTTGTTATTTCTGTATATTTTCTAAAGAATATTTTTTCTAATTGATTAAATGAGCATTAAAAATTAATTCATTGACAAAATATATAAATATCAGTTATATTGTAATTATGGATACTAATATTTCATGTCCTTAAAAATATTTTAATCATTTTAATGATAATATGTTAAAAGCACACTTATATAAAGATAAAAAAGTCAAATATCTGTCTTCATTTATACTCTAGGAGTAATACAATAGATGTATTTATGAGTAACACAAGACAATTTGTACATGCATTTTTAAAGCCAAAAATCATATGCCATACTAAAATGCAGCCAAGTTGAACTTTTTACTTAAATACCAAAAAGCTTGTGATGATATCAGGGAGCGCAATGCATAGCTCAAATGAAATTTTTTTAAAACAATGTTTTTTTACATACAGTAATAAGCATTTTATCTCTTGTGTTGCCTTCATCCTTATCCAAATGTCCCAGGAGAATTAATACCTTGCCAATATGTGAATAACACATTCCTTTTCCTTAAAAGACTGACTATGCCTTAAAATTTAACAATATGTACATTATGTTGTTCACCCATAGTCTATATAAGCTCTTTTGTAGCAATAATTGTATCTGTCAACATTTTATAATGTATTATTTACAAAAAGTTCTAATGATAGACTAAAGTTATATCACATAATATAACCACACAGAAATTATCATGATCAACATTAAACAAACTACTAATTACTGAACCACGGTGAATATTTCAAGATAGAATCTTGTCATGTTTTATACATTTATACAAAAGTTATATACCTACAAATGAATTAATTCAGTCACTTATTATTTTGATATCTATAATGTTTAACTATTCAGCATGATTTTACCTTAAAATTACTTGTTTAATTTTAATAATTTATAGATAAAAAATGATCCTGAAAATTAAAATGAAAGACTGTGTCTGTAGTCCTTTCTTTCTTAACCTATTATCTGCTTTCATTTGACCGATTTTTCTACACACTGCTGTGTACACTGAAAAAATACATTTTATATTTTATACTAAATAAAATTTGAATTACACAATACTTTCAAATATGCTTACCATCTAAGCATATTAAAGTAATTTCTGTACCACCTCCTGCTAATTAAAATACACTTTGGAAAAATAGATGGATGCTTCATAAACACAATTTTATGATCTTTATCATATCTAAGCTTTGTTTATGACAATTAATAATTCATCAA